TTTTATACGGTCCGATCCAATGTGGTTTAAACTTTTTTCGTTGTTCGTTGTGTATCAATACCCATTCGCCCTCTTTCAATGCTATATTTTGATGTTTTAAATGTTTGTCATAATAGATTTTCATTTTGTTGGCATTGGAATGTACGCGTTGATCAACAAGTGCACGTTGTTTATCGAGTTGTTGTATTTGTTGTATTCGTGCTTGCGTATCGTTTTCGTCATTATCATTTAATAAGGGACGTAGTTTATCACCCGGTAATTTTGGTTCAATGCCGTAGACCATATAGAATGGGGTCTTGCCTGTCGAATGATGTATTCTAACTCGACAGACCAACAATGATCGATCAATATATTCGTCCCATTTACTTATCACTTTATCACCAACGTACTTGGACAACATTCCGCCGAATAAACGGTTGAATTTCTCAATAGCGGCATTTGATCGTGGGTGGTAAGCTGATGTTAAGACATGTTTAATACCAAGCACTTTTAAATATGATTCGAGTGTTGCTGTTGTGAAATTATTTCCTCTGTCTGTTATTATTTCTGTTGGGCATCCGAAGTTCATTACAATGTCATCATGAATGAATTTAGCCACGACTTCATGAGTGGCATGAGGAATCGCTTTTGCTATTGGCCATTTTGTCGTATGATCAATCGCCACTAATATCCATCGGTTTCCTTGTTCAGTTAATGGTAATTGACCAATAAAATCCAGACTCCAGCGATGGAATGCCGCAACAGGTATGAGAGGATGTAATTCTTCTGTCGCTATTTTTCCACATGTTGATATTTGACATTTTGTGCATGTTTTAATCCATTGTTTTATATCGCTTTTCATATTCGGCCACCATGCCCGGTTACGTAATAATTCATATACACCATCTGAACCAATATGACCATAGGCCACATGAATTTTTGTAACTGTGTCTAATCGAAGAATAAATGGTACATATGGTGCTGTAGTGCCATCCATTAGTTTTCTATATAATATTTCTTCAGATGAATCATAAATAAATAGGTGTGCTTCTTGTTCAATTAATTTTCGCGTTGATTGTAAAATATCTTCTTCAAATGTTTGCTGTTTTAAATATTGTGGTATTAACAATGGCCAATCTGTTTCAGTATGTTGGTCGCGATCCACATTATTGCCTTCCACAGCTGATAATTGATGTAATCTTGTCAGAGCATCAGCAACAACATTTTCTCTACCAGGTTTATATTCAATTTTATAATTAAATTGTTGTAAATATTCAACCCATCTCACTATTCGACGAGACAAATGTTTTTGTGTTGGTAGATGTTCGAGAGCTTTATGATCTGTGTAGATTGTAAATTCCATGCCCTCTAAATAACATCGCCAACTTCTCAAACAGATGATGATAGTATAAAATTCTTGCTCATGCACTGGATAACGTATTTCCGCATCATTTAACTTCTTTGATTCATAGGCTATTGGTCGTTCACCATTACCATCATTCTGCATAATAACACCCCCGACAGCCACCATCGATGCATCGGTAACGACGATGAATGGTAATGTGAAATCTGGTAATCTTAATACAGGTGCTGATGTGAGCGCTTGTTTTAATAACATAAACGCGGTTTGTTGTTTCAATGTCCATACAAATGGTGTGTTATCTCTCATTAAATCTGTGAGTGGTGCTGCTATTTCACTATATGACTTGATGAATTGCCGATAAAATCCGGCAGTTCCAACAAATGAACGAACATGTTTTAAATCTTTTGGTGTTGGCCAGTTCTTGAGTGCGATCACTTTATTATCGTCAACGGAAATACCACTTGGAGATACAATATGGCCAAGAAATTCAAGTCTTTCAACATCAAATTCACATTTCGATTTCTTAGCAAATAATTGATGTTTACGAAGTAAATCTAGTACAATTTTTATATGTTTCAAATGATCTTCTTCATTTTTACTATAAATTAGTATATCGTCCAGATAGATGAT